AAAAGCTCGACCACGTAGGCGAGTCGAGGTACGGACCCGACCTACCAACCAACGAGGGCATACTGTCGTTTAGTTTGATGAACCAAACGTACATGACCGGTAGGGACACCTCGATCGAGCTCCACTGTCGAAGTACCCCATATGGAAGAACATCCAGCTCGTGATGGGAAGTTCACGCCACGGGCGTAGGATCCCAATCGCGGTCATACGTCTGACACGCGAATTCCCACTCCGCGCATTCGACGCATTTCAAAATGCGTCGAACCGAAACATGGGTTGAACGGATATCTCCATACAAACACAAACTTCTCCAAGAATTCATTACCAAAAATAATAGTCGAGCATATACATCAAATATTATCAGATAACTGTAAACAAAGCATCTAACGAATAGGAAATCATAAACAAGGATCAATAATATACCGACCACAAGGGTCGACATTATCCAAAATTATAGTCTAGGCACGACGGACAAAAAACTAAGAGAATAAAGGCGGGCACGCAGACCCTGAAAATAATAACGAGCACGCAGGCCCCAAAAACAATAACGGGAGTGCAGGCCCAAACACCAACAAAAGCATCAATCAGTTCCCAGAGTGCCGACGTCGACGTCAGGAGAGTCAGGGGGAGGAACAATCGGGCCATCGACAATTTGGGACAGAACCCCAGCCCCTTCGGTATTCAAACTCGGATTTAGCACGGATAGCTGACTCACCGCAGACTCAAAGCCATCGTCCAAAGCGCCAACACAGTCCGACTCCAGGAGTTGAATGCGAGCGATAAAGTCAGAGCGCGTGCGTAAGTCGGCCATCCCTTTTGGCTCGTCCTCAGCGGGCAGCATGACAGCTTTCAGGTCTTCGACCTCTCTCGACAGCCGTTGGTTGTCACTCTCCAACCGCTCCTTATCAAGCTGGAGGCAATTTTTTTCCTCGAGAGCTCTGTCGGCCCTTTCCTTCTCCCCCGACAACACGTCAAACTGCTCACGAAACATTTCCTCAGAGTGTTCGAGGGCAGCCTTCAGTTTGCGGGATTTGGCCACAAGAGCCGCCTTCTCCAACTCCAGCTCCTTGACCCGATCCAAGGAGTCTGACCCTTCGCCCCCGAGGACAACCTCCATCTCGGCCATTTTTACCACCCCGACCATGCTGGAAGCGAGGTGTTTCCTCCGACCTTCCTTGTCGAGCCGTCTGATGATGTCGGCCTCGTTGTCGGATACGGACAAGGGAAACCCCTCGAAGAAATCCTTTTCCACAAAACAGGGTGGCAGGCTGAAGGCCCGGGCACCCGCCCCTCCATCGGTCACTTCAACCCCATTATCTGGTCGACTCTGTTTCTTGCTGATCAAAGCAGATTGGCGCTTGGTGTCCGGGGAACCCGAGGACCCACTAGATCCTTCCCTGTCCGATTCAAGGGTCGGGCCCATCCGCGTGGCTTGTTGCGGCCTCACCAACCTCTTGCTGATTTTCTTGTCTTGAGTTAGCTTCAGCAACCTCTCGCGACGCTCCGCCATGTGACCTGCAAAGGAAGTGTACTTGGGTTAGCCACATACATTAAAGAAAACAAATAAAGAGGAATGTCAATAGAGCAAAGCAAGAAACCTAAGAGGTCTACGACTTTCCCGTAAGACAGGCACTCGACGAGCGCCTTGGTGTTGATCGGACGCGTCTCGAACGTCGACTCGTCATCCTCATCAAGAACGTCGTCCCCTTCCCTCGTAACCCACCGAGCAGGAAAGAAGCCATCGACAAACTTGTTCAGGACGCAAAAAGCTTCCTCGTCCTCAGCGCTCATACCGCCAACAAGAGTATGGTAGTATCCAGGTCCATGATCGTAATGGCCCGAACACTAGTGGATAGGAAACTTTGGGACTTTCCCAATCTCGGGATTACCCTCAGCATCCAAACATGGCTCCCCGTCCTCGTCCATCATAGTGGCCGGTTCGAATAGCGAATCTATGGTTGTCTGGGTAGACGATTGCAAAATATACCACTTATCCTTAAAATTTCGCACATAATTCATATACATCCTAAACAGTCTATTCGACTGCTTAAGGGATACCCAACTGTGCTTCCCTCCTCGGGACTGGCGTTGCAGATGAAAAACCCTGAAGAACAGGGGAATCGTCGCCCCAATCCTCAGGAAGCGGCAGGTGAGTTCGAATGCCCGGATAAAGGCAATTGCATTAGGATGAATCTGGGAGGGGGCCAGGTTCAGGTGGTTGAACACTCCCACCTGGAAGTCATTGAAGGGCAACCGGAGCCCGAGATCTTTAAATACGATCTCGTACATGGGAAAGGCGTCCTGTGTAAACTCTGAGCAGATACGGGCATCCCTCGTCGGCCTCATAATCTTAAAGTTTCTCCGAAATCCCTCCTGACCGCCGCCATATTCGACAACAGTGTAAGCTTGTTTACCGGAATAGCTATAGATCGAAGCTATTCCCCGGGGTTCAGCACCAACCCAATCCAGAGTGGGGTCATCGACAGTGTTGACCAGATTGATGCTTTCATCGATAATGCTTGTTTCCTCGACATCATTACGCCCCGAGGACTCAGGAATATCGGCCATTTACCTGAAAAGTACAGGAAATCGGTGAATTCGACAACAATTCCGCTTTTCCGCCACAAAGACGAGGAGAAGTAAGCAACACTCAGACCGAGTTAATGACCATTCGTACGAAAAACGGGGAACACGTAAACCTCGACCTTAGCGGCAGACGTATATCAATCATAAATGTCACGAGCATAACATGAATATCGCGAGAAAAGGATGAATCTCGCGACCAAGTTCATAATGTTGCTGGCCAGATACAAGAATACTATGGGGAAAACTAGCCTACATACTAACAAAAGGATGAATCTCCTGACCAAGTTCATAAATCTACTAGCCAAACACATGAGTATCACGGGCACGATCGTAAACCATATACCTAAACCTATGAATGTCGCGGGCGTAGTCATGAATCAGGCGCCTAGGGTGCTTAAATTTCCCGAGCACAATCCCCAGACATGAAATTCTACCATTAAACACCATCAAAATCTATCTACAACATGAGATATCAAAGGGAAAAACACTTACTTGGGAGAAGAGTGAGGAGCGACGGTGGTGGAGATGAACACACGGCAAACAACATGGCGATCTCAACGACGCTAGGAAAACCCACGGTGATTGAAAGCAGAGAAAATATGAGAGCGTGAAGATGTGAAAATAAACTATGGGTCCTGAAGCCCTATTTATAGAGATGACGTGGAATATGAAACGTCGCGTTGGGGAACCACAAACCGCCTCCGTCCTCGACGCCTACTCGCGTAGACAATGATGACCCTACTCCCTAGGGCGACATTATGGTATCCAAGAGTCGCGCCACGTGTCTGACTGGCGCATCACCACCTCCCCGCGAGTGCTCCTCGAATACTTCTCGATCGCTGCACAGGGAAAATCACGAACCAAGCGATGTCTCACATCCCCGATTGAAAACCCCTGTGTCGCGTAAGCGAGTCTCGCGAAGGGGCGAACTTGAATCAAGTCATAACTCCCGTACCAGGAGCAACGACTTGTGGGGCTCCTGTTTTGGACTGGGCCTGCCTGTGGCCCAATCACCAGTGAGGCCCAATCCAAGCTTGTCAACATATCGTGCTAAGCAGTATATTCTCTGAGCACACCCCAATCACGGGTATCTGGTCGGCTACGATTACTTCCCGCCAGTGCCTGCGAGGAACGTCTCCGACGAGCGCATGCTCCACCCGAGCACCCACCTCGTAGGACTGACTTTCAATCTCTCCGGATTTCGCGGAGTCCTCATGGTCCCGGGAAGATCGCGCCTTTATCCTCCCTGTCTTGCGGAGGACATCATCCAGGTAGGGGGCCACGTGCAGGTCCCCACTACTCATGTAGAACCTGTCAGTCTCTTTGTTGGGCCTGTTTGATCAATCCAATAAAGAGACCTTGGCCCAGCGCTGATGGTTATAAATACCCTCTATTTCGAGAGGGTCAGATATTAATCACCTACATACACACTTGCTTGCTCATTCCGTCTCCCACTTTGCCATCAAAGTGTCTTGCAGGTACCCCTATCTCCTTCAAATCTAGCCCAAAGCCAGCTGTGACGGTCCAACTCTGATCAAATACGATTAATATCTAAAAGTAATGTTATTTGAATTAGAAAAATAATTTTATTCAAATCTATAATTTTAAAATTAACTTATCTGAATTCAACTAAATTTTGTTAACTCATCTGGATTCACTTAATAAATATAAAAGTGTTTATAAGTTACTAGACTAACCATTTTAATCATGAGAATCCAAACGGTTGCACGAATTAATAAAAATGTTTAAAACCTCCTCTCTTCCATCAAAATTTAAATAATAAAAAATATCCTCCATTTAATTTTTTAAAATTTAAAATTTAGCAACAAAAATTAGAAATAGATAAGGGACAAACAAGTACACCATCATCCAGATTGATCGAACGGCCTCTTGCTTAAAAATTAGAAATTTGGTTTCCCACGGAAGCAGGTCCACTGCAACGGAACAAACAAGTACACCATCATCCAGATTGATCGAACGGCCGTTGCTTAACTAATTTAGATCATCACAATCAAGTGTCAAAAAACGCATCTATTTCACGGTTAAGATCGTTTGCATTTTATAGTTACAATACTAACAACTAGACAGGATCACGGTGCTATAGATAGATATTTCCACGAGAGAGAAATGGGTCGGGTTGGCATGTTACTAGACGTCATTCCAGTATTTATTCATTAAATTCAACTTGCGTCTCAATCTCACTTTCTCCCAAGCAACGTTCTTGTTGTTGGTTGCTTAATTCTAATGCAAGCAATCAACACCTAACAAAAGACGATAAGTAATTGCGGCGTAGTTGTATTGAGCATCCCAAGGATTAATTTATTTTATTCATTCGATCTAATTTATTATATTATCCATAAATAACCCTCAATTTAGAAGCAGAAACTGAAAGAGGATTTTGAAGCCTCATAGCTATGGGTTCCGTAGAGGACGATTCTTCGCGTTTGGAAGAAGCGCTTATTCAGGTTCCCCTCTTTTTCATTTTCAGTTCAGTAATTGCGCTTCTTGAAAACCCCTTTCACTTTAGGTTATATCAACGGTGTTCATTTTAATTGATCAAATTGGTATTTCCATTTAGGGTTAGATTTATCTGAAATTCTATCGTAATCCACACAGTTTTTTTTTTTTATCTGAAGGATGAAGAAAGTAAGCTATACACAGGAGATGGCTCGGTCGACTTTAAAGGGAGGCCTGTGCTTAAGAAGAATACTGGCAATTGGAAAGCTTGCCCATTTATCCTAGGTAAGCCTGTTCATTTCACTTGCGACTTATGTAAAAAAATAATTTTTTTTTGAACTTGTGCATGATATGAAACACAGGCAATGAGTGCTGTGAACGTTTGGCATACTATGGCATTGCAACAAATCTTGTAACCTATCTTACTCGCAAGCTACATGAAGGAAATGTCTCTGCGGCAAGAAACGTCACCACTTGGCAAGGCACTTGTTACCTTGCACCTCTCATTGGAGCAGTTCTAGCAGATTCTTACTGGGGACGATACTGGACAATTGCCATTTTCTCCATGATTTATTTCATTGTAATTACAAACCAAAATATTTTAATTCTCCTATTCAAATAATTCTCTACAAACATCTCTATGCTCAGGTTCCATCTTGTATGAGAATTATGGGCTCAAGAAATATGCATTATGTAGTTTTCTGCATAATGTAATATCTGATGGTGACTGTAATATTTTATCATGGTAGTAACAATTTTTTTGATGGAATCCACTTGAGCATTGACGTCATAAAACTTAAATTCATTCTTACATTTGAAATGTTTTAGTTAATATTAGGAACAGAAGGTGTCTGTATCAGCATGTTGTATAACAGTAGTCTCACCATTTGGTTTTTCTGTGCATCCTTTTCATCTACATGTTTTACATTCAATTATCATTAGCTGTTTTAACCAACATGACTGTCTTGTGCAGGGAATGGGCACGTTGACACTTTCTGCTTCTATTCCAGCATTGAAGCCTGCTGAATGTCTGGGTGCTGTATGCCCTCCAGCTACTCCTGCACAATATGCTGTGTTCTTCATTGGTCTCTATCTGATTGCGCTTGGGACTGGTGGTATTAAACCATGTGTGTCTTCTTTTGGGGCAGACCAGTTTGATGATACTGATTCGCGGGAAAGGGTTAAGAAGGGATCGTTTTTCAACTGGTTTTACTTTTCTATCAACATAGGAGCCCTCATATCAAGCAGTTTTATTGTGTGGATTCAAGAAAATGCAGGCTGGGGTCTTGGATTTGGAATTCCTGCTTTATTTATGGGATTAGCTATCGGAAGCTTCTTTTTAGGCACACCCCTATATAGGTTTCAAAAACCAGGAGGAAGCCCTCTTACAAGAATGTGCCAGGTTGTGGCTGCATCTTTTCGGAAACGGAATCTTACTGTTCCTGAAGATAGTAGTCTCCTCTATGAGACACCAGACAAGAGCTCTGCAATTGAAGGAAGTCGGAAACTACAGCATAGCGATGAATTAAGGTGATTATTCCCTTACTTTGAGTTTACTGTTGTAATGTTCTCATTTCCGAGCTTTGGTCACACTGGCAAAAAACAAGGGGAGCATGTTCAATGAATAATAACATTTTCCTTTATATTCTTGTTAAAGTGCAACGCACCTACCTGCCAAATTCAAAGTTTAAGGGTTCCATTTGGCCAGTCAAAACTCAAAACCTCGTCTGTCCCATCTGACAAGGCCCGATAGGATTGGACCAAGTTAGCTACCTGTAGGTTTTTGTATCTATGATAACTTTCTCTCTATCTCTCTTAACCATAATTCTTTCTCATCTAACATCTATCTTCAAATTGCACTAAAGTCTCAGAATTTGGGTTGGGCCTAACTCATTCCTACAAAACTGGCTTGTAGGGTGATGATTGCCCCCACTTATAAACACAACACTGACCATATCTCTAAGCAATGTGGGACTAAATCCACTCCTTCAAAGCCAACACAATGAAGGTGTTGGGGGCTGCAACGAGGCAAGCCAAAGTGCCGCAATTAAGGCGACTAGGGGCGGTTTGCAATTAAAGCGGAAAGTCCAACATAAAGTTATTAAAGTTACTAAATAGTAAAGTTACCCAATCGTTTCCCGAGAGGATTGGATAACTAATAGTAATATCACCTTACTTTCTCTAGTGTTTGAAATTCATAAACAAATACCGAACATTATTTTTCCTTGCACTCTAACAGATGATTTTCGTATGACACTATTGAGCAATGACACCCTTACTATATAGCCCTCCTTGCATCTCTTTTTTTCTTCTCTATAATACTCTCAGTGCTTGGTACCGATATGCTGCCATCCCATCCATCATCAAACACCATATTTGTTATTATCATCAAACTTGGGATAGTGCTTAGAGAGAACATGCAGTTTGGTTTACACATTCTTATCCATTTTTTATGCAAGATCTTCATTAACTAAACTATCACAATCTTTGGGTTTTTCGGCTAATACCAGCAACATCTGTTTTAAAATGTCATGAGGGAACCTTAGATGGGATAAGAACCTTTAGATGGTATAAATGTCACTTGATCTATGATATTTTATCCACACACAATGTGTTAATTGCATTGCTTTTGAGATCAGCAATGGGGGGAGATTTCTTCATTGCACTTACATTTGCCAGTGTGCTGATGTGTACACATTTGATATGAAAACTGTAGTGTTATATTTGGTAAAATTCCAGACTAGGGCGCCCTCGCTCCACAATTGTGTCGTCTGGGCGGGATATAAGGGATTCGCCCAAGGGGTTCCTCGAACGTGGGAGACAAGTAAGAGGAAGTCACCACTGATCCCTAAAATATAGGTGGTCAATAACCTCCCCTAGTATGAGGGGAGTGGTTAAGACCACGTAAATTGAGAAAACCCCAAGTCCGAGAGATCCTTATAAATACATTACTCCTCAAGGGGATAAATGACATATTCTAAGTTATATACACTCTCCACTACTCAAAGAGCATCACGCTCCCTGCAACCATTACACCCTATTAACCTTATCGCCCGCCTGCAATCAAGCAGCGCCGGCCACATGTAGGATCTCTCACATCACGTGAGCTGGTCCCTAAAACAGCCTCAAAAAACCCACCGCACAGGGCTTCTCGCCTTCGTGGGCAAGCCCTCACTACCAAAACGTGTTATATATCTACAAAGGCCTCTGAGTCTCCTTGTCCTTGTAGAGGAAACATGCATACCTGTACTTTTTGACCAGTATAAAAGCATATATGTCCTGAATACTGGTTGCTTATCAAGTTATCGTTTCCCCTACTTTTGTTGCTTAACTTATCATGATTAGATATTTATGTTGAACATTTTAGATTTTTCATTCATCACTCAACTTTGCACATAATTTATCTATCTGGATTGTAAAAAATGACTTTACAAGCTTTACCCGTCGAATATAGATATCATCACGGGATGAACTTGCTATATTTAATTATTTTTCAAGACAGATGATAAAATATTAGATTGTTGTCAGGGTTTCTCTTTTGAGTAGGCTAATGGAAGACTCATTTTTTTTCTTGCTTCTCTTTTTCCTATTTGAAGGCTTTTTCCTTTTTGAAAGAATGTTAATTTCATGGATAGTTCTGTAGGATAGACTGCATGCAAACAATTTCCGTAGGTTGAGAAGTCCTTTGCTAAACTTAAAATATTTAGTTATTGTCCTAAGAATAATTTGATCTTTTGTGGATACTGGTTTAAGTATGATTACTTGCTTTAGAAGATTTCACACGCTCGTTAACTGAACGTTTTACTCTCGTTTGTTTTAATGAAGGTGTCTTGACAGAGCAGCTGTAATCTCTGATGATGAAAGGAAAAGTGGTGACTATTCTAATTTGTGGAGACTTTGCACTGTGACACAGGTGGAGGAATTAAAAATCTTGATCCGCATGTTTCCAGTTTGGGCTACTGGCATAGTTTTTTCTGCTGTCTACGCCCAGATGTCAACAATGTTTGTGGAACAAGGAACTATGATGGACACTAGCATTGGTTCTTTCAAAATACCAGCAGCTTCCCTCTCAACTTTTGATGTAATCAGTGTTATTTTCTGGGTCCCTGTCTATGACAGGTTTATAGTTCCCATTGCAAGGAAATTTACTGGCAAAGAAAGGGGATTTTCAGAGTTGCAAAGAATGGGAATTGGTCTTTTTATTTCAGTCCTGTGCATGTCAGCTGCTGCTATTGTCGAGATTAAGCGTCTGCAGCTTGCCAAAGAGCTTGACCTTGTTGATAAAGCTGTCCCCGTACCACTTACTATATTTTTGCAAATCCCCCAGTATTTCTTATTGGGAGCAGCAGAAGTATTCACATTTGTGGGGCAGCTTGAGTTCTTCTATGACCAATCTCCAGATGCTATGCGAAGTTTATGCAGTGCTCTGTCACTTCTGACTACTTCGCTCGGAAATTACTTGAGTTCATTCATTCTCACTGTGGTACTTTACTTCACTACACGAGGGGGAAATCCTGGATGGATTCCGGATAACTTGAACAAAGGTCATCTCGATTACTTTTTCTGGCTTTTAGCTGGACTCAGCTTCTTAAATATGTTTCTGTACATAGTTGCTGCCAAAAGATACAAGTCAAAGAAGGCTTCATAAGGTTTTTCAGGCACTTGTTAGTAGTGGAACCACGTTTTCACAATTCCTTCTGTCATTGTCGTGATTGATCTTTATGTAATATAATATGATATTATGCAATTGCGTTGTAAAGGAAAATATTTGTTATGCCTTGTTCAAAATAGTCCCTGCGGCAGTTTATGTTCACTCCCAAAATTGCAACTATGACACTTGTAACTTCTGATATCTAAAAGTTTGATCCCCTTTGATGTGATTTTTTGTTTATCGATACTGACTAAAATAGCCAGTACAAAAGTTAGGGGATTAATATAAACAAATAAGCACAGAAGCAAAAGAAAACAATTAACATTTCATTGATATTTCAAAGTAATAAATAATATGAGACAATAAAATATTCTATATATAAAACTTAATATGAGAGATAAAGAGTACAATATTAACATTTGAGAGGTACATGTAGATATTTTTTAATAATCCAAGGTGATCCACACATGAAGTCAGCTCACCTTACATAGCTTTACATATATATCTAAATATCTAATTTAGGTCTATCAAAGTTCACAATAATATTTTTGTACTTTTTAGAAGGAAAAATTGATAAATTATTGGGATCAATTTCAACACGTTCAATCATTAATAAGATGATGCTAATCTTAAATAAAATTTATTACTAATTTAAATTTTGAAAAGGTGAACACTTCAAATTATTACTCTCTTCGCTCTTTTATAATTGTCATTTTTAATTTTTTTAAAAGATAATCATTATTGTTATTTTTAAACAATAAATATCATTTTACCTATAATATTCTTAATTATTTATCACATGCATTTTAATTTTTTTTCTCTCTCTCTATAATAAATAATTAGGGGGTCATTTTAACAAGAGTGCAATTAATAAAGTAACACTGAACGGAGGGAGTAACCAATAATAAATAATTTTGTCAGCAATCATATTATTGTTGCAAGTTGTACGCATTCAATGAGTAATAGAGATTGAAGATGCTTTCTTCTCCATTATCCATATGACATAGTGGTTACTAACAGAGTGAAGAGGCATGGGTTCTGCCAACATTGCGGAACTGGAGCAGGGCTTTCTTCAGGTTCTCCTCTCCTTCCTTGCCATAATATTAATGTCAGTTAACTGCTTAGTTTTGTTTTGTGATTTTTCTTATTTGCTGTTATCAGAACTGAATTACTCCTTTTTTTTTTCTCTACTGATGCACTCCAGTTGTAACTGTTTTCATATTGTTAGTTGTGTTCTAAAATCAATTTGGCTGATTATCATAAAATGGCCAAGATCTGATGACTCTAGCTTTTTGAGCTGTCACTGATGTCAGCAGTTGGATGAAGACAATTTGTATTTTGCTTTGTATATGATTATTTATTTTGTTTCTTAAGGATGAAAGGAACAAACAATACACAGGAGATGGTTCGGTTGATTTTAGAGGAAAGCCTGCTATTAAGCATAACACTGGCAATTGGAGAGCTTGTCCATTTATTCTAGGTATGCCTTTTTTTACATCGCCTTAAGGTTTCATGTTTTGGATGATCCGTTTTTATTAGTATCATATTTATTTATGTATGTAAATGACAGCCAATGAATGTTGTGAACGTTTGGCTTTCTTTGGCATTGCGACAAACCTCGTTACCTATCTGACAACCAAACTACACGAAGGAAATGCCTCTGCTGCGAGAAATGTCAGCATCTGGCAAGGAACTTGTTATCTTACACCTCTTATTGGAGCTGTTCTGGCTGATGGTTACTGGGGACGATATTGGACAATTGCTGTTTTCTCTATGATTTATTTCCTTGTAATACACTTAACATACATTTCTTCTCCTAGTCATAATCGTCTCTACACATTTTACTATGTGATAATGATATGCCTGTATCTTACAGGGGATATGTATCTTGACAGTTTCTGCATCTGTTCCATCATTGAAGCCAGCTGATTGTTTGGGTTCTGTATGTCCTCCGGCTAGTCCCCTACAATATTATCCGCTCTACTTTGGTCTCTATGTAATTGCACTTGGGACTGGTGGTGTAAAAGCATGTGTGCTATCTTTTGGTGCAGATCAGTTTGATGACACTGATTCCAAGGAAAGAGCCAAGAAGGCTTCCTTTTTCAACTGGTATTACTTTTCTATCAACATAGGTGCCATTGTATCATGCAGCTTCATCGTGTGGGTTCAAGATAATTCAGGATGGGGTCTTGGATTTGGTATTCCTGCTTTATTTATGGGGTTATCCGTTGGAATTTTCTTTTCAGGAACCTCTCTATACAGATTTCAGAAGCCAATGGGTAGCCCTATTACAAGAGTGTGTCAGGTAGTATTGGCATCTGTCCGGAAGCAGAATTTGGTTGTTCCCGAGGATAGTAGTCTCCTGTATGAGATTCCGGACAAGATATCCGGAGTTGAAAGAAGTCACAAACTGATGCATCATGATGATCTGAGGTATTACTTTGAGCTTTGTTTTCTTATCGGCCAATATACCCAAAGGAGTATCTTTATATATGTTGAATTTCTATATATTATTGCTGTTGTTTATGTTTGGGGTCTAATTTTGCAACTATTTTGCTTTTGAGCTATAATATGTACTATTATAAAAGAAGACAAGTTAGTACTTTATTATTGCACACACACATACAGAGAAAACATCATATTCACATTTATTGCATGTCAACATTTTCTTTGTAAACCGTCATTATTGCACCCAGAAATCGTAGGCTAAAACTTGATGCTTTGACTTTTAAATTATTATTTTTTTTGCTTCCTGCTAATAATATTATTGTTAATAATGACAGAAGGATATACCTTAAAAAACTCCTTGTTTTTGTTTTTTCTTGATGTTTAAATAAAGGTATTTTGATAGAGCAGCTGTAGTGTCTGACTCAGAGAACAGAAGCGGTGAGTATTCTAATCCATGGAGGCTTTGCACCGTGACACAGGTGGAAGAATTGAAAATCTTGATTCGCGTGTTTCCAATTTGGGCTACTGGCATAGTTTTTTCTGCTGTCTATGCCCAGATGTCAACGTTGTTTGTAGAGCAAGGAACTATGATGGACACAAATATTGGTTCCTTCAAATTATCCCCAGCTTCCCTCTCAATCTTTGATATGGTAAGTGTTGTTTTGTGGGTCCCTGTCTACGACAGAATACTTGTGCCTATCGCAAGGAAATGTACAGGCAAGAAAAGGGGCCTTTCTGTGTTTCAAAGAATAGGAATTGGCCATTTTATTTCAGGGCTGTGCATGTTATCAGCTGCTATTGTGGAGATTAAGCGCCTGCAGCTTGCAAGAAAGCTCGACCTTGTTGATAAACCTGTTGCCGTACCCCTTAGTGTATTATGGCAAACACCTCAATATTTCTTATTAGGCGCATCAGAGGTATTCACTTTCATTGGGCAATTTGAGTTCTTCTACAACGAATCACCAGATGCTATGCGGACTTTATGTAGTTCACTGCCTCTCTTTAGTATTTCATTTGGGAATTACCTGAGCTCTTTCATTCTTACTATAGTAACTTACTTCACTACACAAGGTGGAAGGCTTGGATGGATTCCAGATAACTTGAACAACGGACATCTTGATTATTTTTTTCTCCTTTTATCTGGACTTGGCTTATTAAACTTGATGGTATTTATAATTGCTGCCAAAATGTACAAGCAGAAGAAGGTTTCTTGATATTTTTCAAGCATTTACTGCTCTTAGGAGGCAAAGCAAGCATGTACTGATATTTCCTTTGTTCATTGTTGATTTTGTTCTGTATGATAAACATGTATATGCTAATTGGGAATGGAGTTTGGGAAAGTGGATACTGGATAGTGTGAGTTTTTGTAACTTACCATGTTGTACATAACTAAAATAGAAGATCAGCCAAACCGCTGGCATTGAAAGGCAGATTCTTTTGAATAAAGTCAGCTTATAAGCTTATTCAAAGGCACGTTGATCAAGCAGGCAGGAAGTTATTCAACCATAATCACTTATGGTTCAATTTAGCTCATCAAAAAATCATAAGTAATTTTGAGACGATAAGTTGTGAATTTGAAACGATCAATCACAACAAGCTATCTTTAAAAACTAACTGTTAATTTCGTTGATAGTAAACATGTGTGGGATAAAGACTCTCTTTTTGTTTTAAATCTTCATTCAACAACTTTGATAAAGACTCTCTTCTACGTCAAAATACCTATTTATCCTTGTTTCATTCAAAACTCATTTAAGCACTCTAAAACAACCTCCAAATATCTACCATGCTTTGACCTCAACTTCAATAACTTGTTATTGTTACGAAAGTTTTCATTAGCTAATAATGAATGATCAATTAAATTGAAATAGTTTAAAATATATAACCTTCACATTTGGTTATGTGGCAGTTTCATTTATAATGTGACAAAGAAAATGTGGATCAAGTTTGAAAAATTATCTTCCATGTCATTTAAAAATATTATAAAACATTTTAATTTAAACAATTTAATTGAAAAACATTTTTAATTAAACAATTAAAGTGAAAAACATTATAAAACACAATGTTGTAGGTCTTCTTCCCAATTTGCACCTAGTAAACCCTAGAACCAGTGAAGTTCTTCTCTTTCCCCTAAAAACGATAGATTTCGTATCAATTTCACGCTTTAAGCTTCACACAAACATGTCCCAATATTCAACATCGAGTAATCGTACTATTTCTCGCTCCAATCATGTTGAATGCAAATGTGATATTCCATCTCCATTGATGACAGTTTGAGCATATTTGAATCTAGGACGTCATTTTTTTGGCTACGGGATGTACAAGGTATTAATTTCATTTGTAAAATCCATGAACAAGTTTATTTTGTGATTTCCATAAAATGTTTCATTGTTCTTATCTATTTCTAGATTCAGGGATATAAGAAGTGTAACCACTTCATCTGATATGACGAAGAGACATCTCAAAGAGTCAGGGAAGTAATATCTTCAATGCATTAAATTAAGAAAAGCTCAAACATAATGAAGCCATAATTGGAGAGGATCAATTGAAGTTGAAGATCACGTTTTTGAAGATGATGAACAAATTTACCATGAGAATAATATTACTTTTGTTAATTGAATTAATTGTATCAAATGTAATCAATTAGGGTTTAGGTTAAGTTGAATATGTTGATAATGTTAGGTTGATTATGCTAAGTTTGTATGTCAGGTATGTTATAATTATGTATATGAATGAGTTGATTATTTTAAGTTGAATGAAATGAATACAATTCTATGTAACCGATTATGTTGAGTTTATAAGCAATCTCAACAGTACATTGAATACAATTTAGCATTACATGTCTGCAAGTTTTTATGTGCAAGTTGGACAATAATAACTCTGCAACATGACCTTTAATTTCAGACCTGTAATTTTTAGCATTGCAATATGACCTGTAATTTTTAACATTGCAATATGATCTATAATTTTTAACATTTCAGACCTGTAATTTATAACTTGTAATATGTAATTTCAGACCTGTAATCAGTATAATTTTTGTACAATTCCAGAACAAAAATTTCAAAACACATTTAACCTTGACATTTCATAACTTTGTTCATGACAATTACACATTTGTTTATGACACTAAAATACCAAACCTACACAATTTATTCATGACAATTACGTACCAAAATACCAAAATATTACAGGTTTATTCATGATAGTTACTGTAACACCCTAATTTAACCCCGTGTAATTATAATTAAATCAGAATAATTTTAAAAATCAATCATAATCAGAATGTTACATTCTTCAAAAATATGCACGGCTGTCCGTAATATATAAACTATACATAACACCGTCATAGATTAACCAACGCAATACAACATAGTGTTCAACTTCAAAATTTATTAAGCAACAAAAAATGGTTCATAATTTAGAATGTAAATAAATTCATCCGAAAAATAAATCAACGCTTACTCAAATATCAAGGAGTTCTTAAGACTCCGACAATTAGTTAACACCAATAAAAAAAATGGAGTTCATCCCCCTAGTGTTACATATCAGAGCATGACGCTGACTCAAAATAATGACGAGTAACTTCCTCCACTGCGGATCACCTGCACGTTATCCACGTAGAGTTAATATTCAAACATAATGGGTGAGATATCATAACCATATAAAAGAAAAGCATAATAATAAACAGTTAACAATTTATTACGCATAGTCATGCATTCTTCATCTCACACCTTCACATCATGTTGCGACAATCATATAACATGTCAAATATATAACCATACAATCCAACAACACATGTCATCCACTGCGACATAACACACACATCATCTACACATTTCAACAACATAATAATAAGAATAATAATGCTATGAAATGAGACAGACTCACAGACTCAATGCATATGGTACCAACACGGTATAAACCCTCATCATTATTCCGAATAGGGCAGCAACATGACATGCACCCTCATTACAACACCAATACAGACCATCAACAAGGCATAAGCCCTCACCATGAATGCATACAACACTGACATACAACAATGTATTATGCATTTGATATTCCTATCCACTAATGCAACCCGCCAATACAAGCAATCATCATCATCATCATACATGCAACATACTATGCAATTTTATTCATACAATTTTGCATATCATCATCACACACAAGCACAACATCCATCATACGAAATACACAAAAGAAGCATAAGTATCCAACAAATAATCACCTAATGTATTCATAATTATTTTTATAGGATAGAAAATAATTTTATCTTTTCGTTGATCTAAACGCTGCGTCAAACGGACACCCGAGTCAAAAGTTATGAATTTTATAAGTTTTGAAAAAAAGTCTGTCAACTTTAAGAAATCGGTTTCCAAAATATTAAAAACAGGTTTCCACACTGCCAATAGCCAATTTTTAAAATTTTCATGCAGAAAATCGGTTTCCCCAATACTGAAAACCAGTTTCCTCGCCGTGACAATGAAAAATTATGCTATTTTTCCAGATACGGAAATCCATATTTTCAACCCATAAATCCCAATTTTCCAACAAAAACATTGTCTCATGATTTCATAAATTATGCACATACATTACTCATCATTCAAACTCATTTCACATCATCAATTAATCACAATACATCAATAATATCAATCACACAAAACAAAATTTTGAGAATACAAGAACACACAACTATGATAACCTAATCACTATCATAATCCATCATTATATAATCCGTTATAGAGTTAGAACTCCACCATTACCTTAAAGATTGACGATTTCCAACTTCTACAGCGAATTCACTTGCCCTAGCCGCAAGTCCACTCTTCTCCTCTTGTCTCTTTTCATGATCTTTTTCTCGTTCTATCTTCTCACTTCCTTATTTTACCAATATTAACCTCTAGACCCTTAATTCTTAATCTCAACTTTACCCTTATCCATTTAAATAATTATTTTAATTATAATTACATAATAATTCTTGTTATTCTAATAATAATAATAATAAAATAAAACACTAGAAATCCCTCACATCTCGTCAAAGCACAACAACACATCCTGAAATTCATTAAAATACACAAAAGTACCACATCGCATAATCAATCAATTAAAATAATTTAAAAGATAAAAGGGGCATTACAACTCTCCACCACTTAGAATATTTTTGTCCTAAAAAATAACCAGACGCGAATAACTCCAGATGCGACTCTCGCATCTTACACTCTAATTCCCACGTCGCGTTCTCTTCGACAGCTCCTCCCCAAACTACTTTCACAAGAGCAATTTCCTTGCTCCCCGACTTCTTTATTTCACGATCCTCGATCCTCACAAGTAAAGTTTCAATAGTAAGACTATCCCGCACTTATACATCATCCATCAAAATATCGTGAGACTGGTCTGAAATATACTTTCGAAGTTGTGACATGATCGGGACTTTATGAGTCTATCGGGATACTAACTGCAAGTATACAGTTTAGTCGTTCTAGTTTTAAATGGTTATCGAACCCACAAAGACCGAGGATCAATCGCATACGATCTAATGTTACAAATGTTTAACTAAGTGATGAATATTTAGTTTTAGGGGAAAAAGGTTTTAATTAAAAGTAATAGTAATAGTTGTACCGATATGTGATAGTCGGACTTCGGGAACTCGGTGAATCACTTGGCATATAAAGTATTTCAGTAAAAACGAATTGTTTAAAAACCTGAGACATACACTCTCGTGTTCATGAAATAAGTTATGCTACTAAACCTAGTGGATGCACTTTAAATTTAATAACACTTTCTGAAAACAACTCGAGTTTTAATTTGTTAAAACACTCTCGTGTATTTAAAAATTAATGTTTCTTTACCACTATCTGGGTTGAACCCCAGCTCTCGCATGCAGGTTCTTGCCTTAATTAATTTCCCACTCTCATAGCAGAATCGTGTTAAATATCCTTTCACTCTCGTGACAAGGATAGTTAAATTAAATATGGAAATTGAATACCAGAAATTATTTATAAAAGATTTTAGCCAAGTTATCACTGAATTCCTTCGGTGCTTAAGAGTCACATACCGGTACAAACAAAATTAGCCAGACATAATGTATTTAGCAAACATGCAACGTAAAAGTTCATGAAAATAATCAACATAACATATAAACAACAAAGATCGAATTGCATAAAAAACCTGTAATTTATATTGCCGTGGTAATCTTGAATTCGTACAGTAGCTT